GATCCAAACCTGTGAACCCCGGGCAGCTGAAGCGGAGCATGCAAACTTAACCAATACGCCACCGGAGGCCCCAGCTTTTCCTTATAGTAGAAAGGCAACAAATGAATGTAAATGGATAGATGATTAGAAAATCACCATTTGTTAAGAGTCATAGTAACAACTGATTCTGGCCAGAATCACCAGTGGATGCTAAAACTAGTATATATACTCAAAGTATATCCCCAAAGATACGTTTTTTTAAAAACAGAACACTCTCATTTTTTATTGGTGGAAATGTAAATTGGTACAATTCTTTTGAAAAGCACTTTTACAAAGTATATCCACAGCCTTAAAAATATTCCCTTGGTCCTGTTAATGCTACACTGAGAATCTGTCCTATAAAATATCCCTAAACATATAAAAAGCTGTATACAAAAATAGCAGCACTGTCTTTTGTAAATCACAATAAAAGACTGGAGATAACCTAAATGTCTAACTCTGAGGAAACAGTGGAGCACCTCTATAGCTATTAAAATAATGCTTACAAGTAGTATTTGGAAATACTTTTTCTTTTTTTTTTTGGTGAGGAAGATTACCCCTGAGTTAACATCTGTTGCCAACCTTCCTCTTTTTGCTGAGGAAGACTAACCCTGAGCTAACATCTGTGCCCATCTTCCTCTATTTTGTATATGGGACGCCGCCACAGCATGGCTTGATGAGTGGTGCATAGGTCCACGCCAGGGATCCGAACCTGCGAGCCCCGGACTGCAGAAGCCGAGCGTGCGAACTTAACCACTATGCCAACTGGCCAGCCCCTGGAAATACTTTTGATATGATGTTGAGTGAATTTTTTTTTTAAAAAAAGCTGACTTCTGATTTTAGCAGTATGGTGGGTTAGACAAGATACTTTTTAAATTAGAAAAGGTAAAATAGTAATTTTATGGTGGGGAAACCTGGTAGACATCACCTTAACCAAATAATCAAAGTTAACATTGCCAGTTATGGGAATAATCAGCAGCATATGCCTCCTGATACGGTACACTTAGCATCACTTTGGTGGTATTCCTACCAAAAGTAGGAATCATAAGGAAACAGCACACAACCTCAAACCAAGGGACATTCTACAAAATAACTGGTCTGTACTCTTTAGAAATCGATGCCATAAGATACAAAGACTCAGGAACTGTTTCAGAGGAAAGGAGACTAGAAAGACATTACAACTAAATTCAAGGCAAGATCTTGGATTTTCTTTTGCTATAAAAAACAATATTGGGAAAATTAACAAAAATCTCAATAAAGTGTAGAGATTAGAGTATTGTGTGTATAGCATTAATAATTTTACTGTAATTATGCAACATAAATCCTTGTTTGCAAGAAATACACACTCAAGTATTTAAGGTTAAAAAGCAGCATCATGTGCAATTTACTCTCAAAAATAATTATATATGTTATATATATACACACACACAGATCAAAAATAGAGAAACAGAGAAAAAAAGAGAGAGAGACAAAGTAAATGTAGTAAAATGGGAAATCTGGGCGAAGGGTATTCAAGAATTCCTTGTCTATTCTTTTTTGTTTGTTTGTTTGTTTTGTTTTGTTTTTTGTGAGGAAGATCAGCCCTGAGCTAACATCCATGCTAATCCTCCTCTTTTTGCTGAGGAAGACCAGCTCTGAGCAAACATCTATTGCCAATCCTCCTCCTTTTTTTCCCCAAAGCCCCAGTAGATAGTTGTATGTCATAGTTGCACATCCTTCTAGTTGCTGTACGTGGGACGCAGCCTCAGCATGGCCTGAGAAGCGGTGCGTCGGTGCGCCCCTGGTATCCGAACCCAGGCCGCCAGTAGCGGAGCGCGAGCACTTAACCGCTAAGCCACAGGGCCGGCCCCCCTTGTCTATTCTTGCAACTTTTTTGTAAACCTGAAATTATGTCAAAATGAAAAAAGTATATAATTATCTATTGATCTACTTCACCCAAAGCACTAAAGGGAGTTGTTTGAATAATCTTAGCATTCTTCTTCTTCATCAAAGTCCAGAAATATTTCCAATGTTAGACAAAAACTTATAACAAAAAGAAGCTGATTTCTTTAACCTCAAACTAAGATGACCAACTGTCCCAATTTGCCCAGAACTTTCCTGGTTTTAGCACTAGAAAGTTCTACATCCCAGGAAACTCCTCAGTCCTGGGTAAACCAGTATGGTTGGTCACCCTATCTCAAACTATTTTCTTGACAATTAAAAATCTAATTAAAATGGTAATCTTTTTATTTTATATTTTACATAGAAAAAGACAATGTTCTTTCTTCAATCTATTTTGGTTGGTACCTCTCAACCACTCCTTCAAAGATGTGCATGCACTCATTAATGCACAGTAAACTATGGCATAAATTGGTATATGTTTCTGGAGCAATTTGACAAAATATATTTAAAAACTAAAATGTTCATAAACTTTGAGAATAGTTCTATTTCTGGGAATTAATTGCAGGGAAATCATCACAGATACCCAAAAATGTATGAACAAATGGACACTCATCATAGTGTTGTTACAGTAAAAAAAAATTGGAATTGACTCAAAATGTCTGACTCTGGAGGAGTGGTTATATAAATTATGCTACAACCACACAACTGTATGCTAAGTAGTCATTTTTTAAATCATGTGTTTGAGGAATGGCATTAGAAAATGTTCATGGGGCCGGCTTGGTGGTGCAAGTGGTTAAGTGCGTGCACTCCGCTGCAGTAGTCCGGGGTTCGCCGGTTCAGATCCCAGGCGTGCACCGACGCACTGCTTG